CCTTCCTCCCTGGCTCAGAGCTGCTCCGTGCCAGGTGCTGTCTGCCAAGCACGCGGGCTAGCCGGGGACACAGGGCCCTTTCCACCCTGCCTGGGAGAAAGAGCCTCCTGCACAAAAGCCCCAGGCAGCCCAGAGCCACAGCCCACCCTGTGACGAGGCCGCCAGCAGGCCTGTGTCTGCCAGCCACCGGCTCTCCGTATCAATGAGTCCATCCCCAATTCTGTAGGCCGGGACAGCTCTGTGACCTTCAGTAGGGCCCTGGGGCCTCAGAGAGGTCATGCCCGGATTCCTCCCCATCCACCCTTTTTGTTTGTTTTCTGGCTTTTTTGTTTCATAGTGCCAGGCCCTCAGTATTTCTAGAGCTGCCTTTGGTCGTGTGTGCATACTTGACTATACTTTGGGCATGTTTAGCACCTAAACACTGCTGTGAGTCTTGCTCCAGAGCCTCCAGCCCAGTGGCCACTCTTCCCCGGCCCTTTCCCACCCCTCGTTGTCTGATACGAGAGCATAAAGCCAGCTATGTGTCGCTTGAGTTACATCTGGTCACACAAAACGGCACGTAGGACACAAAACACCACTCAGGTAGTTCACATCTGATTTAAAACGTGCTTTTGTAATTCTCAGGTGCTGTGAACGGAATCATAAGGGATATGATCAATTTAGTAGCAGCCTTTTAGCCGAAACAGGAAGCAATCCACGTACACAAACACACTGACCAGCAACAGTGTGTCATTTTCCTATCCTTTCTTTCCTCTTCAACATGACAGTAAAATCGAGATTCTTTTTTTTTAAGATTTATTTATTTATTTATTTGAGAGAGAGAGAATAAGAGAGAGCACATGAGAGGGGGGAGGGTCAGAGGGAGAAGCAGACTCCCTGCTGAGCAGGGAGCCCGATGTGGGACTCCATCCAGGGACTCCAGGATCATGACCTGAGCCGAAGGCAGTCGCTTAACCAACTGAGCCACCCAGGCGCCCTAAAATCGAGATTCCTGATGATCCCTCTGCCACTTCCCCCCTGGCAGTTAGGCTAAGCGTTGTGGTGACGCTCTGTTTTCCTCAGCCCGTGGATCACCTCCGTAGAGCATGAAGCACTGATGTGCAGCCGTAGTCCTTGCATTTCCTCTTTTTCTAAACCGAATTGCAAATCGCAGATGGTTAAATTCCTACTCATTTCTGAACCGAATTGCATGCAAATCGCAGACGGTTAAATTCCTACAAAACACCTTCGTCTACATTCGGAGTCGCAGCCCCGTGCCACTTCCTCTCTGCCTTTTCTTTTTAATTGAAACATAATTGACATGTAACATCGTGCAAGTTTGAGGCGTACGATACATTGCTCTTAATATGTTGATATTCTGAAATATGATTACTGCAGTAGCGTGAGCTAACACCTTCATCACCTCCCATAATTATCATTCCTTCTTTGTGTTGAGAACAATTACGATCGAGTCTCTTAGCAACTCTGAAGTTGATAATACGGTGTCATAAAGTCAACACAGTACTGTTGACTATAATCACTGCGCCGTGCCTTAGCTCTCCAGAACGTATTTATCTCCTAGGTGCAAGCTCGTATCTGTCTTACATCACTGATGCGGCCAGCTCTGCCCACCCCTGTCTTCTCTCTCGAGAGCATCCTAGAAAGCCGGGCTCCCGCCAGCGCCCACCCTACTCCCAGACCTCCGGCGCTTCCCCGCTCTGCCCAGCCCAGTGCTCCTCACTGCACTGAGCGCAAACTCCATACCGCCTAGGCCACTGCCGCCCTCCCCACCTTCTCACCCCGCCGCATCCCTGTGGTCTGCTCCAGCCACACTGGCCCTTTCCTGTTCCTTGAACCCTCCCCGCCATGTTCATTTGGACTTTCCCCTCCCCCTGCAGTGCTCCCCTCCTGCATCAGCGTCCTGGGGCTACCGCAACACATTCCCGTAACAATCTCAGCAGCTTCCACAACACATGCGTGTAAAAGTTCCGGAGGTCACAAGTCGGAAACGGGTCTGACCGGACTAAGACCAAGGTGTCGGCAGGGGTGCCCTCATCCCCAGAGGCCCCAGAGGCCCCAGGGGAGAACCCGTTTCCTTGCCTTGTCCAGCTCCTAGAGGCCATTCCTTGCTTTGTGAGCCCTTCCTCCATCTTCTGAGCCAGCCGCTCAGCATCTCTCTGACCCTGCTTCCTTCGTCCCCACTCTCCACCACAGCTGGGGAGTTGCTCTGCTTTTAAGGAGTCACAGCGTTCGATGGGGCCCACCTGGATGATCCAGGCCGCTCTCCCCATCTCAGCTCAAACACATCTGCAAAGTCCTTCCGCTGTGTCAGGTTTCCTTCTGCACAGGTTCCAGGGATGAGGGCGTGGACGTCTTGGGGGGCAGTTACTCCGCTGACCACAGCCCTGGACTGTCCCTGGCCTCACTTCACGAGGCCTCTGTTCAGATACCGCCCTCAAAACGCTTCTCCACTCTTTGCCTGTCCTCTCTCATTACTCGCTGCTATGGGAAATCACTGCTTATTTGTAGACCCGTGCGATTTGTCTCCCTGTACGGTGTGAACTCCCCAAGGCTGGACCATTTGCCCACCCCTGCATGCCCAGTGTCCACACAAGGACCTTGCACAGCATAGGCATTCGATGGTTACTTGAATAAATTTGGGTTTTACTTGAGAGCAAAAAGATGAGAAGGAATTAGTCAAAGGAAAGGGGACTAAACCGTGCAAACAGGATGGAACGGGAGAAAATAGGATCTGAGTGGCCAGGGTAGGCAGGGGCCAGATGACAGGCAGAGGCTTCAAATGCTGTGTGAGGGACTTAGGGCATTCCCCCTGAAAATGGGGGAGCATGGGTGGGTTTCGGTATGGACTGAGTGGACAAGATTAGAGTTTAGGGCCTGCAGTACAAGCTGTGGGGCAGAAGGTGGACAAGGGGAGAGGTGGTGAGTCAGAGCCCTGGCACAGGGACGTGGACACCAGCCAGGTGTGAGTGGCATTGTGACCTTGAACCCAACCCCACTCTTCCCCCCCCCCCCCAATCTCAGAGGACAGTCTTTCTGCTGCCCCTGGGCTGCCTCACTGGGAGGGACTCAGCACAGTTGGGTAGATGGATGGAGAGAAGGAAGTAGGGAAAGGAGGTTGAGATGGGTGGGGTGAGCAAATGGTGGGAAAGATATTGAAGGGATGAATGGAAGAGGGGGGATGGGCAGGCGAGTAAGAGGAGTGGAAGAATGGATGGTTGGAAAGGGGAGGTAGGTAGCAGATATGTGGGTCTGAGAAAAGTGAGTTGTCAGTTGGAAGGGACAGTTGGCTGGTTGGAAGGTGACGGAGGTTTGACAAATGCGAGGGGATAGAGGGTTGGGTGGACTGGCAGATGGGTGGTTGGTTGGTTCATTGGTTGGTGAAGAGACATAGAGCTGATGCTCAGCCATGACCTCAGAAAACTTTTTGCCATTTCAGGAAGGCAATAGTCCCCAAGGGAGCAACCAGGGAGTCAAAATCACACCAGACCAGCAGAAGAGGAGCGGCTTTTTCCGATGTGTTCTTCTGTGAGGAACGCTGCCTTACTCTGAGCCTCGCTCCATGTGGCTGACTGTGCCTGTCCGGAGTGAGTCCGTCACTCAGCTGGGGCCCTCCCCCTCCAACACTCCCTGCCGTGCCGCGGCCACTGGGCCCATGGCCACCAGACACAATTGAGAAATTGTTTATTTTAGTAACTGTCTGATCTTTTTCAACTTTGGAGATGGAATAAGTTAAGAATTTGCTATTTTTCCCTCGATGTCTGCTGAACGGGCCCTCTCGTCGTGTAACCAGAGAGAAAGATGGAGTTGAGGTGTGGCCATCAACATCAGCCAACATGGTAGGCCTCCATCTCCAGGCCTTTAATCCTCATCTCATTGCAATACAAGCAAAGCCCCACCGGGAAGCCCGTTCACATCCCCAGCACAGAAGCCAGGCCCCCAGAGGCCAGTGAGGGTTCTGGGAGTTCCAGGCTCCACACCCTGAGCGAGGTGACGCATGCCGGGCCCACGAAGCGTCCACCTAGCACATCTGACGCCTACTTTCTCCTCTTCTATCTGGTTTGGACAAGTGACTAAAACCATTCCCCCCCCCCCCCGCATTCTTCTCAACTGTCAAACCAAACCAAAGGGAAGCACAAATTACGGAAATCCTGAGGAAAGAAGCTTGGGGCGGCCCTTCCTGTTCACAGCCAGGTGCTGTCCTAGTCCGGCGGGGCCTGGGCATGGTCAGCAGGCCTCTCGGCATTCCCCGCCCGAGCGCCGAGGGCCGCAGGTGACCCTGAACGCGCAACCACACATGGTCCAGCTGTGCTTGGGGCATCTGCGTCTTGGTGCCCCAGGCAGCCCCCCGACGCCTCTTCCCTCCCGCTGTCTCCAAATCGGACGTACTTTCTAGCTGAGATTTTTATTTTTCCAGATCTGTAGTGTCATGAAGTGATTCTGTCTTTGATTCCCAGCGGCAGACCCAGGTGACTGGGAGCTCGTGTGCACCTCTGGCCGGACGGGCCTGAAGCGTGAGGCCGCACTTGGCGCGGGCCGAGGCACAAGCAACAGACTGACCGCGGAGCAGTCTGAGTTGGTTTTTAACTGCCGTCACCCGGTTCTGTTGTGGCAGCTCTACCCTCCCATAGCAACTGCAACTGGGACCGGTAACCAGGTTGGAGGGGTGTCAGCCGGGAGCCTTTCTTTCTCTCCACCCCCCCCCCAAGCTGCTGTCAGTCCAAGCCATTGGCATTGTAGTTTTTTCTTTTGTGAATTAAAACCAACATACCAGCAATAGTCTGCTCTCCCCTGAAATCTCTTAACATGCTCTGTTTACATCGATAAATGCACTTAAGGAAAACAAATTAAAGCTCATTTTAAAGTTAACAGATTTTTTTTTTTTTACAGCTTATCTTATTTCTTGGTTGTAATTTCATCTGTAAGATTAGAGATTGGACTAGATTAAAGGTAATGGATATTTATGTCCCCATGTCCCCTGTAGGGCACTGGGTCGAGGGTCCTCCGGAGGCCTGTCATTTAAAGTGGGAGCCGTTCCACTTTTGCGTGCCTTGGCTCTCATCTGCTCCTCAAGTGTGCCAGGTTCACCCCTACCCCAGGTGTAGACAGGATCAAAGCAGAGGAGGTCGGTTACCCCGAGCTCTGAGGAGATGCAACTGTGACCCAAAGACTGACTTGGAAGAAGCAGCTTCCCGACCCCCAGCTCTGCCCTCACACACCCCCGCCCCCCAGGAGAACGGAGAGGTGTACGCCCCCACAGCACCACTGTGGGACATCACGTTCCCTGTTGAACCTGCCCGGTCAGCATCAGACCCCATCGTGCCCCCACCATTCTCTCATCTGCATCCTTGCCGGCACCCATTTTGCCAAGTCAGGTGCTGGGTTCCGAGCCCTGTCCTCCCCCCAGCACAGCCGCGGGCTGAGCCTCAGTCTCCTCGTCGGTAAAATAGGCATGAGTCAGCAAGATGGCGCCTCTCAGCCTGGGATAGACGCCTGGTAAGCACTGAGAGATGAGCTGCCGTCAACATCCCCTGGTCATCATCCTCATTATCAGCATCACTATTTGTCTTGTGCCCCAAGAGGAAAACTCACTCCTCTCTTCACATCTTGTCTCTTTATGGGGCACAAGTCCCATAAATAGCTCTCGGCACTGAGCTGGAAGTATTTGCCCCAACAGGCCCCAATTTTGTCCCCATTGCTCCCAACCAGGTCAGGCTGGGGTCCTTGAACTCCTCAGTCCCGCCTGAGACCCAGCCTTTTCCTCAGAGAAAAGGACTAGGACTTCGATGCGGTGGCACGCAGGGAAGTGGCTCTTCCACTCTTGTCCCCTTGTACCGGGAAAGAGGACACCTTGACTTTTTTTTTTTTTAAGATTTATTTATTTATTTATTTGACAGAGACACAGCGAGAGAGGGAACACAAGCAGGGGGAGTGGGAGAGGGAGAAACAGACTCCCTGCCGAGCAGGGAGCCTGATGCGGGGCTCGATCCCAGGACCCTGGGATCATCACCTGAGCCGAAGGCAGACGCTTAACAACTGAGCCACCCAGGCGCCCGACAATATGAGTTTTATTTTTATTTTTATTTATTTATTTTTTAAAGATTTTATTTATTTATTTGACAGAGACACAGCGAGAGCAGGAACACAAGCAGGGGGAGTGGGAGAGGGAGAAGCAGGCTTCCCACCGAGCAGGGAGCCCGATGCGGGGCTCGATCCCAGGACCCTGGGATCATGACCTGAGCCAAAGGCAGATGCTTAACGACTGAGCCACCCAGGCGCTCCTTTTTTTTATTTACTTTTTTTAAATAACATCTTTATTGAGATGTAATCTGCACATGGAACAATCACCTACCAAAGTGCAATTAAGTGGTCTTCAGTGTATTCTCAGAGTTGCGCGGCTGTCACCACAGTCCATTCTAGAACGTTTTCATCACCCCATCCCCACAAGCAGTCTTTCCCCATGCCCCCCGCCCAGCCCCCCTGCAACCATTAGTCTTCTTTCTGTCTCTGCATTTGCCTGTCCTGGACATTTCATGTAAATGAAATCATACACCGTGTGGCCTTTTGTATGGGGCCTCTTCTGCTCTGCATGATTCTCTAGATCCATCACGTTGTAGCATGTGTCCTTTTTATGGCTGAGTAATATTCCATCGTGTGCATGGACCACCATCTGTGGTGGCCATTCGGTTATTTCCACCTTCTGGACGCCTGAGCTGTCTCTTCCTCCAGCGTGCCAGGTGTATTCCTACCCCAAGCCTTTGCCCTTGCTGTTCCCTCTTGTGCAAGCCTTTTCCACGTGGGGACTTGTGCGGTAACCATGTCCCCATGGACCGCGGGCTCCAGCGGGCAGGGACAGTGCTCATCTTGTCTGCCCCGTCCCCAGCATCTAGCATGGTGCCCGCAGTTGGGGCTCAGCCAATGTTTGTGGAGTGAATGGATTCATGAACAGAACGAAAGCCTTGTAGGACGACAGGATGGTTGAAAACACATAAAGCTCAGCATTGGCAGAGCCTGACTGCCCTACCCCTTTTACAGGGCTGAGAAGGCACTGTGGTCCCTACCACACGAGCCACCCCACGTGGGGCCATGAAAGTCCTCCTTGCCAGCTGAGGCCCCCAGTGAAAAGCCCAGAGCTGACACCAGAGCAGGAGGGGCCCTGGAGTCCCAGCCCCCCTGCATCCCCCTGCTGGTCCTTTTCGGGAAGTTCCTCTGGCGGCCACCTCTCTGCTCACAGTTTTGAGGACTGTGGTCACCGAGGGGTGGGGGATGATTCTGTTGTGACATTCTCAGGGGAGGACTTCAGTTTGTGTAAGACCACATCTCCCAAGCAGGTCAGGGTTATCAGGGTGGAGCCCTCTGTGGTGGGGCCTCAGGGGGCCAGGCCGGAAGTGGCCTGAGACACCCCATGTTTCTGGAGACTGCACTGCATGCAAATGAGACCAGGCTTTCTAAGGGATCAGGGTCTCCTGGGCTGGTGCGAGCCCCTCCCCAACAGTGTTGCTCCTTATCATCGGGGCTGGTAGCTGACTCACTGGGCTATGGAGGGCACGGAGGTGACGCAAGTGGCCCAAGGTGGCCCAGCCTGTGCAGTATGGAGCCCCAGCTTCTGTCTCCCCAGCCAGGCACAAAGGCATCAGATTAAGTCACAGTGAAGAGTCCCGATTTTACCCTTGACTGAGCCCCACACCGCATGCTTGAAGGTTGTTCCTGTCGTCATCACGTGATTAAGGAGGGCTGTTATGCCCACTTCTCAGTTAAGGAAACCGAGGCCCAGAGAGGTTGAGAGAGTCACCCAAGGCTACCCAGTGGGGTGAGTAAGAAGCCAGGTTCCACGTGTCTCCTGCTTGGGCCTTATGGACCCGAAGACTCCAGACCAGGCCACCCCCACGGCCCTTGAGCCTACAGTGGGGGCTATCTGGACTGGCTGGCCCCGGGTGATAAGGCCCCGGAGGGGAGGCCCCCAGCTCGGCCACCAGGGTCTGGGCTATTTCTGCCTAAAAGGGGAGAAGGAAGTGGTTTTGCCCCTGGGCTGAGGCGGGAGGTGCAGCCAGCACACATCCGGGGCTGCCTGGTCCGTTAGACTTGTACAAGTGCCTACGGTGGGTATCGGGCTCCCCAGAATGTTCTGGGTTTTTTTTTAAATCTGAAGAAAAAAATGAATACAATAATAATGAATATATAATAATCCAGCCCAGACTATAACGGTCTAGATGCCAACAGAATCGTAAAATATGATTTTAAGTGTGATTTTTTTTTTTTGGTGTGTTTTGTTTTGTTACAGAGGAAGTCATAATGTGACTTCCAGCCCCAGCCTGTCCAGGCTTGACCCTGCCTCAGGGCCTTTGCCCGTGCTCTTCCCTCCACCTATAGCCCTCTCTTTTTGCAACCCACAATCAAGTTACCTCCTACCTGCCCCCAAGTGCCTCTTGCTCTGGATCAGCTAAGCCCCCTCTGAGGGTTCTTGCAACTCCAGACCCTCCTTCCTGATAGACTGTCTGCTTCGAAACATTAATCATTTCTTACTCTTCATTGCTTGCTAGATTATAGATGCCGGGAGGGTGGGGCTTGCACCTCTTGGGGTCCCCTCTCTGTCCCCTAGGATCTGGCACACAGTAGGTGCTCAATAAAGGCTTGTCATGGGTGAAGCAAGGGTGTCCCTCCACCCGCAGCTCAGCAGCTTTGCTGGACAGAGGGCAACCAGAGTTTGTCCCGGTCCCTCCCCTGGGGCTCACCTGCTTAAGGAAACAGGAACAGCCTGGGGGCAGCAGCCCCACCCCGCTGACTGACGTGTGACCCTGAATCGAAACCAAGGCTCCTGCAGGCTCTGAGGACAGCAAGAGGGAGAGCCTCAGCTGCCCAGGGATCTCCCAGGTAAGTGCCGCGTGGGAATCCCTCACCAGCCCCATACCCACTTCTGTGCCTGCCCCATGCTGGGTGAGGCTGGGGCCCCAGGAGCCTCAGCTCCACCCCAGATTTCTAGAAGAAGGAGCATGGGAGCCAGTCTGAGCCAGAAGGAGGGGCAGGGTGGTAGAGACCAGAAAAGCCGGAGGAATTTTCAGTGGGAGCTGACCATTGAAAAATGGAGCTGGGGCTGGGAGAAGGGCGTTCCTGGCAGGGAAACAGCATGGGCCGAGGTGTGGAGGGAAAGAGAGCTTGGTCAGTTTGGGGTACAGCAAGGATGTCCTTAGGGCTGGAGTACCGGGCACAAGGAGATGGGGGAGGCCCCAATGTCAGGGTCAGGAAGCTGAAACTTAGTATGGATTCATTCATCCCTGGATAGTTATTCATCAGCAGACACCCCTGCACCCTCATCTGTGCCTGCCCAGCATCAGGTAGCGCTGGGACCCAGAAAAATCCAAAAGGACCTAGCCCTGGGCCAGGTCTCTAGGAGCCCTTGATGTGGGGGTGATGGAGCTTTGTGCATTTGGGCCTATTGATAGTAAATGCCTGGGGGCAGTCACCCAGGCCCGTAAGCTTCCCACAGACATCTCCCCTTGCCAAACCAATGTGACAACAGAACCGATCCCTGCGGTTCTTAGGGTTGCAAGCTGCCCATCAGCCATAACCATCTGGAAATTTCGAAGAAAAAAAATCTGTTACTTACCAGCCCTGACATGTACACAGCCAGGGGGCACACAGCCAGGTTGCTGAGAGAGACACAGGCAGCGCACATGGCCCCAGGGTTCTGCTTTTATTGGGGTTGAGGGTGGGGGGCTAGGGTTTTGGGGGCTGAATATAAACTATATTGGTGAATATAAACTATAAGAGCAGGAATTTAAAGCATGGGAAGAGAAAAAAAGAAAGAAGGAGGGAAAAAGTGATCCAAATGGCCAGTTATCTAAATCAACCAGGATGTCTAAAACAAAAGAGCCTCATGGCGGGGATGTGGGGTGGGGGTGGGGGGTGGACGGCGGGAGCATCCTGGCTCTTTATCTTGTTATGTGGCTTGCAGTGTGTTTATTCGCGATAGACTTCATTGAGTTAAAGCAGATGACTTGGCAGTCAAAGAAAGCTTAAGTCAGGCACTTGAATTACAGAAAGAAAAGCCAACTGTCAGGACTCACACTGCACACGGACACTTGAGCTCCATGAGGCAAGGCTAGGCAAAACTTAGGCAGGAACAGAGGGGAAGATGGGAGACAGAGAAGGGGACCAAGGCTTTGTCTAGGTGAAGAGAAAGGAAAGCTGCCTGGAGGAGGGTATATTTTTGCTGGGTCTTGAAGGATAAATAGGAGTTCTCCCAGGTGGAAAAAAGAACAAACCTGTATATATTACCCCAGGCTAGGACACTACTGGGTTCATGAATATTTATTATATACCCAGACTGTATAGTTCTGAACCAACTGTACTTTCCCAGGTAGATATCATCATATCCCCAAACTAAAGATGAAACTGAAGGCACAGAGATATTAAGTGACTCACCCAAGGTCACACAGCAGCTAAGTGGGGGAGCTGGGGCTGGACCCCAGGCTATCTGGCTCTGATTCCAGGCTCTTGATTGCTTTGTCACCCTGCTTTATTAAATATTTCTTAATAGATCTCTTTAATTTTACTCGTCCTAGAATGCCTTTGGGCCTCTCCCCGGAGGGCGTGCTCAACATCTGTCTTCTGGCAGAAGGAAGTCAATATTGACCGGGTTAGTCAATATGTTCCCACCCTCTGGAAACAGCCCAGTAACAGTGACCTTCTGCAATATTGAAACATTAGATAGGGTCAGTGTTGGGGGTGGGTCAGGTTTGGGACAGAATGAAGGGTCACCGTGAAGGGTCATGAGCAGACCACCCAGCAGGGCATGACCCTGTTGCTGGTTTTATGTTGATTTGATACTCTTTTATAAATCAGGACTATTATTTTCTTCGGCTCCTTGTCATTGGCTCATAAAGTCCAGTGTTATCCTGAGCTTAAAACTGTCGAAACTCATGTGAATTAATGTTTTTGCACCTGACACATTACAGGTGTGCCTCTGGGGGCCATCAGACATGACAATGTTGGGAGCAAAGGGAATTACTTGGGGCCACATCTCTTTATGGTTTCTTCACTTACCATTTTGCCATGTCCACATCCCTCCTGGGACATTGATATTGATTTAAATAAAGTCAGTTCTTTTTTTTTTTTTTTTAGAAAGTATTTGGGAGAGAGAACTAGCAGGAGGGGAAGAGGGAAAGGGAGAGAGACTCCTTAGCAGACTCCACGCTGAGTGCGGAGCCCAATGCAGAGCTCCATCTCAGGACCCTGAAATCGCGCCCTGAGCCAAAACCAAGAGTCGGACGCTTAATCGACTGCGCCATCCAGACACCCCTCAATAAAGTCAGTTTTTAAGCTTAAATGCATATATTTATAAAGGGAGCTTTCTTTCTTTCTTTTTTTTTTTTTTAAAGATTTTATTTATTTGACAAAGAGAGACACAGCGAGAGAGGAAACACAAGCAGGGGGGAGTGGGAGAGGGAGAAGCAGGCTTCCCGCCGAGCAGGGAGCCCGATGCGGGGCTCGATCCCAGGAACCTGGGATCATGACCTGAGCCAAAGGCAGATGCTTAACGACTGAGCCACCCAGGCGCCCCTAAAGGGAGCTTTCTAACACTTGTAGTAATGCTATAATAAGAATAGAAGGACAAGGAAAAATTCTTGGGGGATTTTTGGAAGGAGCCAATGAATGAATGCATAGGAGGTGCTCAAGAAACACAAACCAGGTTCAAGCCCGTTGCTCTGGCCAGTTTGGAGTCTTAACCAAGGAGGAGGCACCATGAGCTCTAAGAACAAAACAAAGTACAGGAGGTGGACCAGGCTTGACCCTCTCTCTCCTCCCTCTTACTGCCAGGTAACTGCTCCCCAGGAAGCCATGACAGAAGTGGGAAAGCTGCCCCCACCACTGCCCCCACGACTGGACTGGTTCGTGCAGACGCAGGTGGTTCAGCTGGCCCAAGAAGGGGTCCCCGCATGGTTCCACGGTGCCATCTCGAGAGAGTAAGGACACACACACCTTCCACCCTGCCCTTCACCCTCTTTCCTTGTCTGCCCCCACCTTGGGCAGATTTTCTGCAGAATTCTGGGCTCGGCTTCGTGAAAAGACCTCTGAAGCCCCGGGCAGGAGGGGACTCAGTGTGTGACCAGGGCCAGTTACTTCCCATCCCTGGACCTCAGCTCTCTCTGTACTAGTGACCACCAGACCAGCACTGCCAGGGACCCATCCCCCAAGGCCAGGTATCCATAATCAGTGATGGCAGGATGCAGCCTCTGAATCCTTCTTAACACAGTTTCCCAAACAGCTGCTCTCATTCCATCAGGGACATGACCTACGTGCACTTTCTACATTGGACTGAGTTCTGAGGACATGAACAAACTCACCTCATTAGTCACCTTCTTCGTCCTAAATGAACGAAGAGAAGAACGTCTATGGCCACCGTTAGCATGTAGGGACATGGAGAGAACGTTGTGAAAGCCACAGAGAGGGCTAATTGACCACTTTCTCTGAGTTCTGGGGGGCGGGGGGCGCCCCTAAGAACATACTGTGAGCCACATGTTGCCATTTTAAAGTTTTTAGTAGCTATATTAAAAGAAGTAAAAAGAAACAGGTGGAATTAATTTTAATCCTATCTTTTCTTCAACCCAGTATATCCAGGATATTATCACTTCAACTTGAGTACTAAAAGCTCATCCATGAGACAGTATACGTTCCTTTATTTTGTACTAAGTCTTGAAAATCTGGTATCCTACGCCAAAAGCACATCTTAATTCGGACCAGTCATATTAAGTGCTCAGTAGCTACACGTAGTCAGTGGCCTCTGGAGTAGACAGCTCGGGTCTCAAGTCTCCCCATCTTGTCCTATAGAAGGGCACCTTTCTCTCTGTGAACCCATGATAACAATAGTAATGATGATAGTGAATACTAGTAATAATTTGGCAAGCAGTTACCAGGTATATGGGTATTTCAGGCATCGGGAAGCCAGGCAGGGGCTGTGGGGGATAGGAGAAAGTCTGTCCTGGGGTCAAGGTCATCAGAGGCCTTCTGCCACTGATGGGAACACCCCTGTGCCTGAACATCCCAAGGTCTGAAACAACAACAACCACAAAGGGTTTTAGGTTTGTTCAGTCCTGGGATGACGGGTGAACCAGGAGTCTGACCAGTATGCTGGGCAGCTGGATCGCAGCCATCTCCCTCCTGTGTGTGTCCTTCCAGGGACGCCGAGAATTTGCTGGAGTTACAGCCACTGGGATCCTTTCTCATTAGAGTGAGTCACAGCCACGTGGGCTACACACTGTCCTACAAGTAAGGCCCGGGCTAGGGGCCAGGGAAGGGGCAGCAGGGCTCCAGGGCTTCCTGGGAGGGGGCAAGGGATGCTTCATACCACAACTGCTCAGAGAGCAACTGGTGTCAAGTTCTGGCCAAAGCTGGCTGCAGTGAGCAGCTGCAGGTCTGGCTGTAACCAGCGGATGGGGACTTGGTGGTAACAGCCTGTGTGTCTGAGAACAGGGGCTGCTGGGAGCCCAAGAGTAGCTACGTCCCTCCCCTAACCTCCTCCCGCTCCCCACCCCCATCCCCTTCAGCCATCTACTTGGCAACTCTCTGACTCCACCCCGAGGCACATATTAGGGAAACTCAGGGCAGTCCAGCTCCTTAAGGCCTCAAAACCTGATCTGGTATCTCACAGGATTCAGCAACACAAAGTACTTTTCAAAAGCATTCCAGGCCAAAGGAATAAAAAAAGTCCAATGACTCCACTGCAGAGTTCCCACCATGGGAAAAGCTTAAACCCTGAGTCACACAGTCAAAAAGGCTTGGGGCTGCCATTTATATGCTGTGTGACCTTGGACAAGTTACTCAACCTATCTGTGCCTCCCCCCAAGTCCTCATCTCTAATAATAGGAATGCTAAAATTAATTCAGAGTCTTGTGAAAATTAAATAAGAGATAGTAAGCACATGGTGAGCCATTAATAAATGCATCCATTCATTAACAGAGCATTTATTGAGGGCCTGCTGTGTGCCTGGCACACAGACTTCGCCTGGGGCACAGACTTCACCGGGGCACAGACTTTGCCTGGGGCCTGAGTCACATTTTCACTATCATCACTTCTATTGATCATTTGACCCTAGCCAGGCACCGAACTAAGCTTTTATCTGCAGTAGCTTATTCCATTTTCATGAGAAATCCCGAGGCCAGCCTTAGTCGCCCCACGTTACAGACAGGGAAACTGAGGCACAGTGTGGTTAGTGGCCTACCAGTGTCACATGGCAAAAACATGCAGAAGGCTACTGGGAACCTGAACAGTAGGGCTGCAGCCTCCTAGCCCCAGCAGTGTTGCCACAGAGCCCAAAGCTGCTGCCACCACTTCATGGTGAAGCTCTTGGATGACGGGAGCCTCGTGATCCCCGGAGAGGACAAGGCCCACGCCTCACTGGACGCCCTGGTCACCTTCCACCAGCAGCAGCCTATGCGGCCACACAGGGACCTGCTGACACAGCCCTGTGGGCAGGTGAGGGTGGGACCCTGGTGGGCCATAGTCACCCTCGCAGGGGCTAAGCCCCCTGACTCATTTTGTTCCCACGCTCCCCATTCAACCTCTTGTGATTCTGTCACTCTCATGATCCCTGCCCTCCCTCCCACTGCCCCACCCCTCCTGGTCTTGGTTCCCTGCCTCACCCCAGCCCCCCAGGCTAATTTGTTACAAGGGTTCATTTGGGGGGGTACAACCTTGGCTGATGTATAAGAATAGTGTATCTCCTTATAAGGCTCATGGCGGGGCGGGGCGGGGGGGAGCAGCGGGTGAAGGAGGTGTGGGGGGGTGGTCCTAGCCCTCAGAAGCTACTGTGGGAGGGGCATGCTTCCATACAAGGTTTGTGGGCAAGGCAGTTCCTGAGCCCCACTTTCTAGGGTTTGTCTGGGACCCTGGGACCACCCCATCTCCCTCCTTGGGGTTGAGCTGCAGGTTCCCTCTGCCCCACAGAAGGATCCAGCGAACTTGGATTATGAGGATCTCTTCCTTTACTCCAATGCATTGAGGGAGGAAGTTGCCAGCCCCGCCCATGTCCCCAGGGAACATCAGAATCCTTCCTCCTGTCCCAGGGCTGCACCTGAGGAGGTATGTGACAGAAAGCTGGCACCTCCAACACAGGGGAGGGGCAGGAGCGGAGGTGGCCAGCAGCTGCCAGAGGAGACTTTCTAGAGTGAAAATTAGATTCTATAGCTCCAAGTATAAAACCTTCCAGTGATTTTTTTCAAGACACTGCAATTAAAATCCCAACTGTGACCTCGGCTACTCCTCATGCTCATCACCAGTCCAGCTCCAGCCCCTCTGCTATCCTTTCTGTTGTTCAGATACATCAAGCTAGGCTCAGGACCTTTGCATGTGCTGGTCCCTCCCTCAGGACCTTTGCACATGTTGGTGCCACCCACCTCAGGGCCTTTGCACGTGCTGTGTATGCTCTGCCCCCGGATTTCCTATGCCTGGCTTCTTTCTTCAATTCTTCAAGTGTCTCCCTCCCCAGACTCCAGACTCCAAAGTCGTCCCCTCTGCATTCTCTATCACCTCACCCTGTTTATTCACTGCAGAGCACTCCTCACAATTTAAAAAGTCTTTTTGTGGGTTAAAAGTTTATTTGTGGGTTTTCACGTTTCCTGTCTGCCTCCCCTATCAGACTGTGAGCTCTGGGAGGTATTAACAATTTAAATAGTCTTTTTGTGGGTTAAAAGTTTATTTGTGGGTTTTCATGTTTCCTGTCTGCCTCTCCTATCAGACTGTGAGCTCTGGGAGGCCTGGGAATCTGTCTGGCTTGTTCCCCCTATCTTGTTCATCTGTCTGCCTCTCCTCCCCTCAGAGAAGACCTGGCACAGAGAAAGTGCTCAACGAATGAATCTGTGGAGTAGATGAGTGAATAAATTAATGAATCCCACCTTCTCAGGGCTGATTGGACCTTCAGGAATCCCTAGGCTCAGTGTCCTCCATGCCCCTCACATGGCAGGGAAGTTCTGACAATAGTGGAAATGAAACAGGCTGGTAGGATGAACATCAGTGGGTGTGGGGCTAAGCGGTGAAGGGAAAGGGAAGACCTGGAGGAGGTGGCATAGACCTGGGACACATAGGATAAGGTGGAGTCAGTCACACACAGAGATTCAGGGAGGGTGTTTCAGGCAGAGAAAAGAGCACATGCAAAGGTCCTGAGGCTCAGTGTATTTGGAAACAAAAGAACAACAAAAGCCAGTGTGTGGATGGAGTGGGGTGAGTCAGAGGGAGGTCATTGGGAGGTGAGGGGCCAGGATCAGCAGGAGCCAATCATGCAGGGCCTTGGGGTAGGGTGAGGAGCTGGCGTTCTATTCCAGGTGTGCAGGGGGAGTCACCATGAGAGAGCCCATGGTTGCCAGCTGCAGGAGGGGCTGCCTGGCACCAGTGGTAGAGGTGACAGGAAAGAGGCAGGGAGTCCAAGTGGGAGGGACCAGAAAAGGATCTCTGGGGGTGGGGCAAGAAAAGGATATTTGAGACATTTTAGAAGGGAGCCTGCTGATGGCTTGGAGGGGGCGGTGAGGGGAACCAAGGTGTCGTCACGGTTTGAGTCCCTGGGCCCTCCATTATGAGGGAGGTGATCCCAGGATATGCCACTAAGGGAGCGGGGAAGTGGGATGGGAGAGGGCAGCCCACGAAGGGTGTGTTAGGGAGCAGGTTCCCCTGTGGGCATCCGGGGCTTGGTATCCCTCAGGAAGGCTGGGATTCTGCGTGGGACATGGACTTCTGTTATCCCACCTCAGCGTTGAGGAGTTGGGGTATTGATCCTCCATCTTCCATTAGGCCTTGGTCAAGTGCTGTTTCTGGGAGATTTTAAATCTCTGGCACTTCTGGCCTGCTGTGGGGCCAGAGAAGGACCCCGGGCAGAGTCCCCACTGCTGGCATTTGGGAGCGGAGCTGGGGGTACTGAGCGCTCAGGGCAAAGGGATATGGATGGGGCATTGTCGGCATCTGCCCCAAATGTCACCTGAACAACCAAGTAATCAGGGCCCAAGGACCACATCTGGCCTGTTTCTGTATGGTCCACAAGCGAAGCATGGCTTTTATGTTTTTGAGTGGTTGAAAAAAATAAAAAGTAATATTTCATGACCCGTGAAAATCAGATGAAAGTCGGATTTCCACGCCCATAAAGTTTTATTGGAACTCAGGCACACTCACTCGTTGATGTACGATCTCTGTTGTTTTACAGCAGACTGTATGACCAACAAACCTGAAAAGATTTGCTGTCTGGCACTTTACGAAAAGAGTTCACCAATCCCTGGGGGAGATAGTGAAGCTGTTCATGGGGATGGGGAGGGGGCATGGGATCAGGTTTGGGGGCTCACCTGGGGTCCTTCTCACCCCCCAGATGTCTGAGTGGGACCCATGTCCCAACCTCCAGGGCAGATTCAGAGCTTTGGTGGGTGGGACGGCCCCAGGTCTCACCTGCTCTTGGTTTCAGACCTCAGCGAGGCTGACACTTGATCACCCAAGGGGAAGGAAGCCATCAGCAGAGATGGACAGAGCTTCCACGGAGGAAGCCACTGCCTCCTGCCCCCCAAAAGCTCCTCTTGAGAAGGCTTGCCGGAAACTCTGGAGGAACCTCAAGATGCTCCCCCAGACGGGCAAGAGGGTCCAGCAGCAGCTGACATCCCACTTGTCTTCTACGAACTTGTCATCGCTCTGGAGTGCTGGGCCACCAGCAGCGACACACAGCTCAGGGGCCAGGCCAGGTGACGCCCACTGGGAAGATAATGTCGACACAGACCGCTCTGTGGCCACGTCCCTTGCAAGCCCCTCGCAGCCCCAGGATCTGAGAGACAGAGTTGACCCCTCCAGGAAGGTCTCAAGATTGGCCAGCTGGAGCGAGGCGACCCCGAGGGTCAAGGGTTGGCACCAAGCAGTAGTGAGGGCCCTGTCCCCAAAAGTGTCTAAACCAGAGAAAAAGGACTTGGCAGAACCCCAGAAGGACTGGCTCCCAGAGGAGTACCGCCCACCGCCACCCTTTGCCCCTGGGTACTGTTAAAGAGCTTTGCCCTGGCTCTGGGGGCTGGACCCCTTATTGTCTACCCACCAGTCCTCAGGAACCTGAGAAATGTAATAAAGACATTGCTTGGGTCTGGTCCTGCAATTGCCGATCGTGTGACCCGGTTATTTGAATAATAATTATCAGTTACAGCAAGGGTCTAGGGCACCTACTGTGTGCCAGGCCCCATGCCAAAGCCTCCAAGTTCACTATTTCTGTTAACACCTCTGAGCAGGCCCAGCAGATAGGCTCATACTGCATACTTTAAAGAAGAGACTAAGGGTCAGAGAGGAGGAGAGGCATGGCCAAGCTCACCCAGCTAGAGGGTGTCAGTGCCAGGGTTTGAAACCCAGTCAGTTGGAGCTCTTTGGCCACATCCTCTGCACCTGGCTCAAGTCTAAGTAACATCCTTGCCTATAAACAGAGCTGTTCACACCTTCCTCCTGGGGTTCTCCTACAAATGAGGGAGGTGAGACTTGGAGAGGGCTTGGCACATAGTACACACTCCTGACACCAACTTCAGAAGCATGGGAGCCCCTTTAAAGAAGGAGAGAGGCAGCCCAGGGTCATGGTTAGCAGTGGGTTCTGGAGGAAATCCCAGATCACATGGCCGTGTGACCTCTAGCGAGTCACTAGACCTCTCTGGGCTTGGTTTCTCACCTGGAAAGTGGGAAGAAGAGCAGCTCAGCTTTCTCAGGATGAACCAACTGGATGCACATAAAACCTGAGGCTTTGGCTCACAGTGGGTGCTTAATAAGTGGAGGTTAGGGTGGGAGTGGGTGCTCTAGAAATGATGCACAGTGGGGGTGTCTGGGAAGGTGCCCTGGCAGCTAGTTTCGATTGCAGGAATGACCACTCCCTGGACTGACGGGGCCTATAGACGGGCCCCAGGCCGACCACAGATGGAGTGGGTGTGGGGCTTCTCAAATCTGCAAGGTGTGTAGATGTCTGGGATCTGGAAAGAGGTGGGCCTGAGTTCAAGGCTGCCTTTGCAGATGACATGAGATGTGGCCTTGGGCAAATCACTCTGTTCCCTCTGAAGTGTGATTGCTTCTCACCCACCCCACTGGCATGCCACAGGCAGCCAATGCAATGGCAGAGAGGTGCTTCGTAAACTGTAAAGTACGGTGCCAGCCTCAGTGAATGACATTGCTGCCCCCTCCCTCGGAGGCCTCCTCTGGCTGTGCTAATGAATGAGCACGGAGTCCAAGCTTGGTCCCTTTGAGCAGCTCAAGGATTGGGGGGAAAGGGCACTTGAGAGGTTGGGGGTAGGGTTCAGCCTTGGGAAGCCCGGGGGTGAGATCACATGGGCCTCATCTCCACATCTGGTCTCTGTCCACCAAAACTCATAGCTACCAAGGCACTTCCAGCCCTCACGGTGGACAGAGATCTAGAAGTCAGCCACTTCCTTGCATAAATGGGGAGATCACGGCTCACAGAGGGTGCAGCCACACCCAGGGTCACACAGTGAGGGCAGAGGTGAGATCCCAGGCTTCCTCTCTCCCATCCGGCAGGTTTAAGGTGAAACACATGTCCTCCAAGCAGACGTGACTCAGTGATGTGTGTTTATTCCCATAACCCAGGGAGACCGGATTTCACAGTGGAGTGAGGGGTCACCCCGTCCTCCTCTGACCTGACTTCTCCGTGGTGCGCTCAGATGCGGATGTGGAAAGTGCTGTGTGCAAAAAGAAATGGAGTCATCAGGCAGAGAGGGTGGCCCTCCTTCATCCCCCCCGCTCCCTGAACTCTCCTGCAGGGAGTCCCTGAGACAGACAAGGAACCACAGGGGGAGATGGATCCCCTCAAGAACCCCAGGCTGTGCCCCCGCCCCGGTCCCCACAGGGGTGGAAAGCACACCTCTTTGGATCAGAGTTGACACTCCGGCTCCACCCCAGACTTGCCGTGGGACTCTAAGTGAGTGGGTACCCCTTCCTGGGCTTCAGTTTACTCCTCTGTAAAATGGGGATAATAGCCATCCTTCCTGCATGGGGCTGTAGTGAGGGCTAAGGGGGCTAATGCACAGGGTGCTGTCGCCCAGAGATGCTGTCCTCGGTAGGGTTCATTCAATTGTCGTTATTCATGTCTCTGTCTGCCTCTCCAGGGAGAGGAGGGGGGCCCTCTGTGCATGTCAGGATGCCACCCATAATAACAGCCACGACAGCAACCCCAGCACACAGATACTGAGCACCTACTATGTGCCAGGCGCTGCTCTAAAGTCTTTCCATGTACTAACTCAGGGGTCAGCCAACTTCTGTAAAGAGCCAAATGGTTGATATACCCAACTTTGTGCAAGGACTCAGCTGGGCCTTATAGCTCGAAAGCAGCCGTGGCTAATACATACACTAGCAGGCATGGCTGTGTGCCAATAAAATCACTGATGGACACAAATTTGAATTTCACATCCATTTCATGTGTCACGGAGTATTATTGGTCTTTCATCTTTTCCCCGCCATTTAAGAAATGTAAAAACCATTCTTAGCTCACAGGAGGTACAAAAACAGGTGGCTGGCCACCCCCTGTATTAACTCACTATCAGCCCGACTATGGGGGGGCTCTGATTCTCCCCAGGACTGCCAAGTACAGTTGTACACCCTGTTCACTGCAAAATGTTCAGGCAAGAGAGGACTGAAGACCAGCCATGTTCCATTCACCCAAAGAGCTGCATCCACCCACAGGGGGTGCCCATGGGGTCCCCAATTATCCCCATTTTAAAGATGCAGGGACTGAGGCCAGGAAGGCTGGGGAAGTTCTCTAAGATCACAAATGAATGAATAGGGGAACTTTCACAAACACAGCCTGCGGACTAGTTTTGTAGGAGCTGCGCTCAGACGTGGAAATGGATTGTGCAAAGTGGCAAGGAGTGTCACACCTGAGGAAGTCGGGTGCCCGCAGGATCATGTTCTGGAAGTCTTCCAGGGAGAGCCGCCCATCATGGTCGCCATCGGCCTCATCTAGCACCTTCTCACACACCAGGCTCACCTCCTCAGTGCTCAGCTCCCCCCGCGTCAGCTTGGTCACTGTCTGCTCCAGGTCCCATGCACAAATGTAGCCGTCATTGTTAAAGTCTGTGCAGCGGGATGGAGGGGATGTGGAGTGGGGGCACAGCAGGGGACAGGCAGGCCGGGCCTCTTGTCCCCATGTTACAGAGGAGGAAACTGAGGCACTGGAGAGATCCCAAGACCCTGGGGTAATGGCTGGGTCTTGCTTTGGAATTGGGCAGAGTCCTGCTGGGAGGTCATTCATTCACTCCACAACTATTTATTGAGCACCTATTATGTGCCAGGCATACGTGACTGTTTTTCATCTACTCACTCAACAAGGATTTAGGGAGTGCCTACTATGTTCCAGGCACTGTGATAAACTTTCGTTCATTCGACAGATTTTTAGTGAGCACCTACTGTGTGCCAGGCACTGTGATAAATTTTCATTCATTCGGTCAGTCAACAAGTATTTATTGAGCACTTCCTTTTTGCCAGGCATGAGAGACAGATGGGGAAGAAAACAGATACTGTTGCTGCCCTTGGGTCTCATCAGAGAGAAATCAGTAAGAAATGAACGGATTATGAACAGAAATTAAGCAGCACTGCTCCCTGCTGGGAGAGAACTAGGATGTGGGGTGGAGAGTGATTGAGGGTGGAAGCTGCTTTTGACCTAGACTTCAAGGTGAGCAGGAGTCAAGGGAAAGGTATTCCAGGCAGAGGGCACAGCAGAGGAGAAGACCCGGAGGGAGGAAGAGTTTGGTGTGCTGGAGTTGGAGGGAGGCCCGTGTGGCTGGAAAGTAAGTAAGGGGATGAGGTCAGCAAGCACCAAGGTGGGGCGAAGCCCCCGGGGAGACATCTGCGACGGCAGGGCAGCCCCTGGCCCCAGGCCTGGTCTTGTTCTCACTCCCCACCCCACCCCACGCTCGCCCACCCCCGAGCCCTGCACGCACCATAAATTTTAAAAGCATAGTAAGCTTTGAGGTCGCGGGGAGCCATTTCGCTCATCACGGAAAACATGTCCAGGAAGTTGTCCAAGGTCATGTGCCCGTCCCCGTCCTCAGAGAACACCTGGGCAATCCTCTGGCGGAACGGGTTGTCCTGGGGACAGGAAGCAGAGAGGCCATCCCTGACCGGGGACTCTGGGCTCCATATGGAATCGCTCTCCGCACCCACCTTCCTGAAACCTTCAAGTACCCACCCCCACCTTCAAACTTCCTCCTGCCCACCGTCCTGGGACAGGATTCCAGACAACTCCTCTCTCTGCCCCTGTGGTCTGGGTGGCCGTCATCCCACTTCTGGCTCCAGGTGCAGCCACGTGACCTGGTTGAGGCCAATCAGAGATCGCTATCGATTGGCAACCGTGATTGGCTCTGGGGTAGGTAGGGTGACTCAAACTGGCCAATCAGAGGCTGCCCTGGAAGATGGCGACGGAGGGGCCTGCTTTACCCTGGTTGCAGAGCTGACAGGAATCTGGCACCGCTGGGGCAGCCCCGTTGGACATCGGCTGCCTGAGCCCGAAGCCCCCTCCTGCCAAGGGGGAGCTGAGAGATGGAGGGAGACTCCTGAGCTCATCCGCAGAAACCCTGGTTCCAGCCGTACCTGGCGCTTGCTCTGCCCCCTGGAGTTTGTCCTCCTATGTTCCAATACATTTTGTCCCTCTCGAATGAGGTTTCTGTCCCTTGTGATAAAATAATGTCTGCTCAGTCACTCACCCCACAAGTCCCCTTCGGCAACACAAACTATGTGACGAACATCCAACTGAGAAGAACCTGCCTTTTTAGCGGCTCCTGCTATGAAAAGCAGAACTCACATTCCCTGAGTACTTGCCATGCAGGAGACCCTGTGCCAAGTCCTTTACCTGCATTATCTCATCCCAGCGTTCCAACAACCCCGGCTTTCATTCCTGTCTCGGTCACATCCTAGCTGTGTGACCATGACCAAGTGTCAACCTCTCTGAACCTCACTTCTTTCATCTGTAAAATGCATTCACTTCATAGGAAGCAGGGGACATCCCTACTATTTTTTTTCCCTGCCTGCCCCAAGGCCCCACACATACCTTCAGCTCGGGCATGCTGCCGATGAGCTCGTAGGGCACCTTCACATCAGGACAGCTGGTATAGTCCAGGGGGACAAGCTGGGGAGCCAGGTCCTGGTAGCGATAGAAGAGCCTGGGGTGGGGAGGGAAACACCGGGAAGAGCTGGCAGATGGGATGGGGAGGACTTGTCCCTTTTCTCTCATTCTTGCAGCTGATCACTACACATGGAAGGATCGTGGGTCCTCAAGAGTCATCAGCTCTGGGCCCAGTCCTCAAGCACACAGAGCCAAACACGGGCACGTCTACCCTCTGGGAGCAGGGCCAAAGTGGAGAGAGGGCCCCAGAGCTAAGGGAGACTCAAGTGGGGACATTGATACTGGGCTTTGAAGAGTGAGTAGGAGTTGACCAGGCTAGTGGGGATGGCAAAAGGGAGTGTGCTTAAGGTGAGGTCATTTTACATCAAACATTCAGAGAATCCGATTGAATCTCTGAATCTCTGGATATCATCACATTGTTGGCCTCTGACTGTAAAGACCCCCCATTCTCACATTTTCCTTCTCTCAGCCCATAAGGCGAGTGTTCCCTAAATGGGGCAGAGCGGAGACAAAAGGCCAATATTCAGAGTTTTTTAATGCATGCAGGGCATTTCGCAAAACACCAAATGCCACCAACACTACCTAGATGGTGAGGCCAGCTCTCCACTCCAATGTCCTCACCTGCTGACACCCTATCTTCACTGGGGGCATGAGAAGCACAACCTTGTAGAGGGCATCCTTGGTGAGTCAGAGGTCCCCAAGCTGCTAGGGGCTGTTTCTGAGGGAGATGGGAGCCCCTGGGTCATATGATGGCTAGGAACTCAAGGAAGTGGTATCCGGAATTTCAGTCCTGACCACCCAGGTCCCTGTCTGGGCCCCCTCAGGGAACAGCCTGAGTTTGGGCTTCTGTATGGCCTTGAGCATGTCCCTCTTCCCCTCTGAGCTTGTTATTCTGCTGACAAACAAGAAGCTCAGGACCGACGAAATGTCAGCCCTCAAACTCCTTGGAGCTCTGCCCATCTGCAGAGCTCAGGTCAGCCTCCCCTGCCCAAGCCTCAGTTTCCCCATCAGTAATCTGATCGTGATGGCCAGGGTGACCCTACGAGCTGTCCTCACCCAGACAATGGGGCTCACTGGTGAAAGGTGTGCCCATCAATAATGGATATCCCGTGCCCACACAACTGGGGCCTTGGCCCCTATCACTCTGTATCTGAACCCCGACCAGCTTGGGTTTCACAGCTCCAAGTTCATGGGTCGGGGCCTCTGGACAATGGCCCCATGGGCTGAGCAGTAACGTGGGATACCCAACTATGCCTCTCTGCTCATGCCAGCGACCTGCAACGGCCGCAGCCTGCCTACCTGCCCCCTTACCTTGATGCTAACCCCACAACCCAGAGCTGACTCTAGCCTCTGCCCCCAGGTGCCCAGCCTCCAGTCCCAGCCTCTTCACGCTGGCCTCAGGGGGATCTTTTTAACATGCTGATCTGTCTCCCCCCAACACCTCTCCCTGCTCACATACTCTCCATGGCTCCACACAACCCTTGGGAGAAAGGCCAAGCTAATCAACTTAGAGACCATGACAATATGACAATTCTCAGCCTCCCCATCTCTGCCTCCATCCACTGACCGTGCCCGCAATCCCTCCCTTTGTGTTTTAACCACCACGCGGCACTCAGTCCTGTCCAATCGCAAACATCCTCCGACAATGGAGAGAAAGTTATTACCAGGTCTTCCTCCCTTTCTGCCCCGACTGACCTCATGATTTCCTTTCTTGTGAAGAAGGTGCAGTCCTGTGGAGAGAGATGTTGGCTTGGCCCAGAGCCTGCCTCAGGGGCCTCCTCCTTCTCCCTCCCACTGCATGCCCATCCCCGCCTGATGTTGCACACAGAGCTGCACCAGGAACCCTTGCCGATTGCACACCCCGGACAAATGGTGCTGTCCCCACTTCTCAGGCAGGGAAACCAAGGCTGCCGAACCTGCACATCACCCCTACCTGATATGCTTCCAGCTGCTCATGAGCGAAGACTGTCTGCTTGTTGCCCATGGTGAAGACCACTGCCAGGAGTCTGGGACAAGCTCCTGAAGCCCCCAGTCTCCTCAGGACCACACAGGTTGCCAGGCTGCGGCACATCAGCGTCTGGGCAAATGTCCCTGCCCTGGCTGTCACCTGCCCACCCGCCCTGTCACCCCCAGCCTGGTGAGATCAAGTTACAGCTGAGCTCTCTGGGCAACAGCCCGAGTATGTCCATGGCCACCAGGACAAGAAGGACTGTAGGAGGTCACAGAACAGCAGACCACATCTGCCACGACTGGGTGAGGCTGGGGGGTATGGGGCCCCTTCCAGAGACAGGCAGGGTGATGGAGAGACTGCAAGCAGATCCCAGCTCAATTACTAGCTCTCCACCCACTAGCTATGTGCCTTAGACAAGTCAGCTGACCCTCTCTAAGCCTTGTTTGTAAGATGGAAGTTATATTAGTACCTAGCTCATTGAGTCGTCCTGAAGATCTAACGAGATCATTAATGCAACCAAAGAAAAAAATTTTAACTATTGGGTTTAAGCCAGTTTTAGGCACTGGGAGCATAATAACTGGGTGAACAAGCTAAATGAGGTCCCCAGATGTGCATTGGAGATGATGATGATGATGATGATGATGATGATGATGATGATGTTATAGCTTAAGAAAAGTGATCCAAGGTGTAAGTTAGAGAAACAGTCAGTTAAATAATACCAAACAGAAATCTTTATTGCAGGACTTGTCAGAGCCTTTAGCATGCTAATGTTCACCATGCATCCTCAATGTAGCAGCTGCCAACCTTATTAAGACCCAGAATTCTTTTGGGCAGAACACGTGGGAGTCAAAAGTTCTTAACCTGGTGCTCCATGCTCTTCTTCCTCTGGGTCTATCCTGTCTCTCCACTTTCTTCTCCTGCTAAGCCTTTTCCAGTGCCACACCCCAACCCCCCTGAACTGCTCTTGGATCTTCCTCTTCCCTCTTCCCCACTCTCTCTGGCCTGGACGATCACAGTTCCTCCCAGTCTCATCAACTCTCTTCTGCCCCAGTGTGTGAAGCCACCTTGTAGAATGTGACTATGATCAGGCTTTAAAGACCCCCTTTGGATGATTTAAAAGAAAAAAACAAAAAGACAATATCAAGTGTTGGAGAAAATGTGAGGAACTCTTATTAATTGCTGATGGTGATGCAAAATAGTTCAGCCACTCTGGAAAATGGATCGGAACTTTCCCATAAGGGCGCCTGGGTGGCACAGTTGGTTAAGCCTCTGACTCTTGGTTTCAGCTCAGGTCGTGATCTCAGGGTTGTGAGATTGAGCCCTATGTCCAGCTCCATGCTCAGTGCAGAGTCCGCTTGAGATTCTCTCTCCCTCTGCCCTTCCTGCTCTTGTTCTCTCTCTTTCTCAAACAAATCTTTTTTTAAAAAGATCTTATTTATTGGGGCGCCTGGGTGGCTCAGTCGTTAAGCATCTGCCTTCGGCTCAGGTCATGATCCCAGGGTCCTGGAATCGAGCCCCTCATCGGGTTCCCTGCTCCGCGGGAAGCCTGTTTCTCCCTCTCCCTCTCCCCCTGCTTGTGTTCCCTCTCTCGCTGTCTCTCTCTTTGTCAAATAAATAAAAAATAAATAAAAAGATCTTATTTATTTATTTGAGAGGGAGAGAGAGCACGAGTGGGGGGCAGAGAGAGGGAGAAGCAGACTCCCCACTGACCAGGGAGCCTGATGCAGGGCTTGATCCCAGTACCCTGGGATCATGACCTGAGCCAAAGGCAGATGCTTAACCGCCTGAGCCACCCAGGCACCCCTCTCTCAAATAAATCTAAAAAAAAAAAAAAAAAAGAACTTTCCTATAGTTAAACATACACTTACCATGTGACTCAGCTATCCCACTATGAGTAGTTATCCAAGGGAGATGAAAAGATGTATGGGCACATGAAAACCTGTACATGCCCACAGCATGGAGAAAACACTTGCAAATCATATATCTGATAACGTACTAATCTCCAGGATATATCTAGAACTCCCACGAGACTACAATAAAAAGACAAATTGCCCAAATAAAAAAAAATGGGCAAAGATTTGGGGAGGGGATGAATAGATGGAACACAGAGGATTTTTATGGTAGTGATTTTTTTTTTTTAAGTAGGCTCCACACCCAGCATGGAGCCCAATGCAAGGCTTGAACTCACAACCCTGAGATCAATGCCTGAAGTGAGATCAAGAGTCAGATGCTTAGCCAACTGGGCCATCCAGGCACCCCTATGGCAGTGAATCTATTCTGTATGATACTGTAATGGTGGGTACATGTCATTATATATTTGTCCAAAACCATAGAAGGTACAACACCAAGAGTGAACTCTAATGTCAACTTTGGATAATATGATGTGTCAATGTAGTAAGTTCAACACTTGTAACAAAGGCACCAGTCTAGTGGGGGATGTTAATAGTGGGGGAAGCTGTGGGTGCGTGTGGGCAGGGAGCACATGGGAAATCTCTATACCTTCTGCTCCATTTTGTTGTGAACCTAAAACTGCTCTAAAAATAAAGTCTATTAAAACAAAACAGAACAGGTAAAGGATTTGAGGAGTCATCTCTCCAAAGAAGATATACAAATGGCAAATAAGCATATGAGAAGATGTGTAACATCATTAATCATTAAGGAAATGCAAACTAAAATCACCATGAGATACCAATTCACACCCACCAGGATGCCTATAACAAAAAAGACGGACAATAGCAAGTTGTTGGCCAGGATGTGGAGATACTGGAACCCTCATACACTGCTGGTGGGAATGTAAAATGGGGCAGCTGCTTTGGAAAACAGTTTGGCAGGTCTTTAAAAAGTCAAACATAGAGCGCCTGGGTGGCTCAGTCAGTTAAGCGGCTGCCTTCGGCCCAGGTCATGATCCCAGGGTCCTGGGATTGAGCCCTGCATCGGGGTCCCTGCTCCGCGGGAAGCCTGCTTCTCCGTCTCCCACTCCCCCTACTTGTGTTCCCTCTCTTCCTGTGTTTCTCTCTGTGTCAAATAAATAAAATCTTAGAAAAAAAAGTTAAACATAGTTATCATATGACCCAGCAATTTTCACTCCAAGGTGGAGAGAATTGAAAATATATGTCCACATAAAGACTTGTATGTGAATGTTCATAGCAGCATTATTCACAATAGCCCCAAAGTAGAAACAACTCAAATGTTCATCAATGGATGAATGGATAAAGAAATTGTGGTCCATTCATACAACATAATATTATTCAGTTATATAAAAGGAATGAAGCACTGATGCACGCCACAACGTGGATGAGTCTTGAAAACACCATGCTGAGTGAAAGCGGTCAGACGCAAGAGTCCACATAGTGTGTGATTCCATGTATATGAAACATTCAGAATAGGCAAATCCATAGAGGCAGAAAGCAGATTTAGTCATTGCTAAGGGGCTGGGGCAGGAGGATGGGGAATGACCGCTCAAGGGGGGTGGGTTTCCTTCTGGAGTGATGAAAACGTTCTGGAACTAGATAGCGGTGATGGTTGCACAACTCTGTGAAGGTGATAAATCTCACTGAATTGTGCACTCTAAAGGGTGACTTCTATGGTATGTGAATTATATCTTCGTTTTTAAAAATATCTGTACATGAAGAGTGATAGCGACTTTATGCATAATTACTAAAAACTGGAGACAACACAAATGTTCTTCACCTGGGAAACGGTTAAACAAACTGGGGTCTGTCCATACAATAGACTACTACTCAGCTATAAAACAGAATTAACTACTGATATACACAAAATGAATGAACCTCAAACGTGTTATGCCAACTGAAAGAAGCCAGACTCAAAAGGCTACCTATTAGATGATTCCATTTATATGACATACTCAAAAGGACAAAACTATAGGGACAGAAAACAGATAAATGGTTGCCAGGGGCTGCAGATAGGGGAACAAGGGAATCTTAGGGGTGATGAAACTGTTCTATATTTTGATTGTAGTGTTGGTTACATGATTGTATTCATTTGTCAAAACTCATAGACCTGTACGCCAAAAGGGTGAGTTTTTTGCATGTAAATACATTTTTAAAAATGAAAACAATAAGAAAACTAATTAGCAAAGACCTCCTTACTCCCCAGTGCCTCATGGTTGAAGTCCAGATTCCTATGCCTGACCCCGTCAGGCACTCTGTGATTTGGTTATGTGCCCCCCTCCCTGCCCACCACCCATCAACAATTAGTAATTGGGCACCTAATGTGTGCCGGGCGCTGTCCTAGGTTCTGATATTACAAAAGCAGAGCTCTCATGGAGCTCACGTTCCTGTGGGCAAGCAATCAAATAAACACATAATTAGGCAGGGGTGCTAAGTTCCAGGAAGAAAAATAAAACAGGGCAGGGATAGAGAGAGAGAGAAGAGGTTAGGCTAAATAGGTTGGGAGGGAAAAGCCCTCCTATGAAATGGTATTTGAGTAGTGACTGGAGGGAATTGAGGAAATAGTGATTGGGAAGGGAGTTCTTGGCAGTGGGAAGAGCAAGTGCAAAGGCCCTGAGGCTGGATTAAGTTTGACACCATTGGAGGAGGGCAGGGTGGTGGTGCTGTGTTGGAGCTCAACAAGCACTAATTACAATTAGTAAGCTGCTGCTCATGTCCGTCAGCCACCAGAGGCTGCCTCTCTGACACCCAACTCCAATCATGGGATTTTTTTTCTTTTTTGCATGGCCAAGAAATCATTTTTCATGGTACAAATAAATTAATTTTATCTTTGTATGGATAAATTCCAGCTTTATTATGATAAATAATATGCAATAATATCCCCCTTGTAATATAGGATAGAGAACTTAGAATCATAATGACAGTACGGCGTTTCAATATTATCAGGGGAAAACAAATCAAAACAACAATGAGATATCACTGTCAGGATGGCTATTATCAAAAAAGCAAAAGCTGACAAGTGTTGATGAGGACATAGAGAAATGGCAACCCTGTGCACTGTGGGTGGAAATGCAAAATGGTGCATCCACTATAGAAACCAGTAGGGAGGTGCCTCGAAAAAAT